CTTCGTTGATGGTTTGGGAGTCTGTGATGATTACTAAATTCATAGTCGACATAACTACACTGCAACGTGTTGATTTTAACGCATCCAAGTATGGATACCGCAATATTCACTCACTGGTGCATGATGTGCATTTCACATACGAGGACTTCGTGAAGTTATGGTGCATACCTGCACATGCATGCACAGCAGTCAAGACATGAATGCACTGCGAGTCTGGCCAGCTCAGCAGGCATGCATTCTTGACTGCAGTGGTGCAGGATTGCCTATTGCAATGCAGGATTGGCCAACCTACAATGCAAAAGACAATCCTGCTTTGTGCTCCAGGTGTGTCTTCATTCTAACAGAGCCATCTCGTCATATTATAAACGTTGTTGCATGGTAAATGACGGCGTCAGGCTGCTACACCTCTGCAATGCTAATCGCAAGTTACACTGAATTATGTGCCTATGAACTACGCGTGAATTTAATTATTTGCTCGGACGAAGGTGGGCTAGTTGCGGTAGGTTGCGCTTGTGGAACTGTTTAGCTACAAGTCAAAGCTTCACACTGGTCCCTGTTCTAATGGCCGTTATGTCTTGCATAGACGAAATGGATCAGTTTTTGTTGTTGTTCTTCGCATGGTCTGTTCGCCAGACAGCCTGCACGTGTTATGTCGCCACACAATGGCTTCGTCTTCATTCCCACGCCCTCTGGTCTATTTGCTGTAGCTCAACGTTGATGTTAGTCTGCTTCCGTTTAGGTCCGCGTTCATGACTTGTCCTTGCTGGTCTTCTTATAGGGGGAGGTCCATTTCCTTGATGTTCTCCTTTGACCTGTGAATCTCGCATTACCTGTAACAGGAAATGACATGTGACTTTCGACAACAACTCAAGCGTCTGCTGCAGCACACTTGCATGAATATGCTGGTGCGACCAGTGACAATACCACCAAGCATACGCACCCGGGCAAAATGTCATCATCCCGCAAAATAAACCAAAACATAACTTCTACGCCGCCAGGACGCTGTGCGTCCAAATTGGACGGACGGCACACACTTAATAGCCAGCCGAAATGTACGTAACAAATACTTTACCAGCGAATATTGAAACGTGGCATTAACATCATACACCGGAAGCACGTCCAACGAATCGTTGTATAGCATGTGCAAAAGTCCTTCTATGTCTGTGCGACGTAAAGCAAACTATTAAAAAATAATACGGAAGTAGCAGGCGGGGGCCCATAACCACTTACCCTGCCTTTAAAAATAATACGGAAGTAGCAGGCGGGGGCCCATAACCACTTACCCTGCCTTTATATACCAAGAGATTTGATCCGCAACACTCATATCATTCGCTTCGCGAACAATATCGTAAAAGTGCTGCGTATACTCTGGTACGGACTCATTGATTTTCATATCGTATTCGTGCGCATGCAAACGATTGCGTGCGGCCATCGCGGTGTCGTGCTTCACATCACCATATTGCAACAGGAATTTATCACGCAACAAATCGCGGGTAAGTGGTTGCGTGCCGGACTTGTGCTTAAGGAAAAGATCTGCCGTCCACTCCTGAGCCTTGCCCGTAAGCCAGAACATAAAGTGCTCAAGCGGGTCCATTTGCGACAAGTCAAAATATTGCATAAGAAGCGCGTAATATGGGGGCCCTTGTGAAGCAGCTGCCCGCGTTTCCAAAGCACGTATGGTGTTGTGGAAGGTGCCGAAGTACGTCGGTGAAATATAATGTGGTAGGACTGGAGAGAATAGTGAATCAGTATAATGTATTGTGAGCGTAGCTGAAGCTTTCATCGTGGGCGCGTCTCGTTGCAAGCTAAGCAACGCGACGTGTAGCATCAGTCCTCAGTTCACTTCTTGTAACCATGTCTTTGTATTAGTAATGTGTGAATCCTTCTTCCCACTAAAACGAGGTGGTGCAAGGATACGTTAATTTACCTCTGAGGTTCGGGCAGACTTGGAAGGAGGGGCAGCCGAGCCGGAAGGACCACCGGCTTTCTTGGCCACGCCCTCACTACAAAGTTGCTTGACTTCGTCCAATCACACTTCGGGGTTCAGGTGGCGTTGGAGAAGCGCTTGAAACACGCAATTCTGCAGCATGTCAACCTCGAGGAACGAGGCAATATTCCTGTCCAGCGTCTCACAAATTCCATCGATAATGATGGACCTGCGCCGGGTGTCCGAAGAACTCGGAGACGGCGACGCAGGCAACGCGTCCCGAAGTTGCGTCTGAAGATCCTTAAGGACGGAGGTGATTTCACCCAAACATTCACCGTACTCGGCGAAAAAGGCTCTCCACCTCACCCTTATGGCTGGTTGCATAACAAATTGCGGGATGCGAGGCGAAGTGCGGTCTTGCGTACTGCTGAAGTCGCAAGTCGCAAGTTGCAAGTCGCAAGTCGCAAGGAACACGCATAATTTCTATTATAATATTCTACATACGCGAACACGTACGTGTGCATACTCAGTTTGTAGAGCGGATCTCAAAATGGGAGAAGTATTGAACCGTTACTACTACAGCAAACAAGTGCGCGAACGTGTTTGCCACCTCTATTTCGACGAGGGTTACACGCAAGCGCAAATAGCTGAGGCTTTCGGGCACAGACCTTGCGAGAGGACTGTGCATGCTATCATACAGTCCTACGTGGCGAATGGCGATGTCCTGCCGCTTAGAGGACAAACAGGAACACGCAAACTACGCAAGTTTGATGAGATCGCTGCACAGACGCTGGTGGAGCTGGTGCAGGCCGACGACCAAGCATTGCTCTCCGATCTGGCCACCGCTATGACAAACTTACTGGGCACTCTTTGGAGCGTCCCTGATATTAGCCGTGCATTGTCTGAGCTGGGTTACGTCCGCAAGAAGGTTTTTACCAGGGCATTCGAGGCACGGAAATCAGTTCAGCTGGCATATCGCGAGCTTGTGTGACAATATGTTCAAATGGCCCAGAAGCCTCCCACTCTGTAACAATTCAATTCAACTTCGTGAGCTTGTGTGTGTGTATGTATGTGTGTGCGTGTGCGTGTGTTGCAAGTATTTGACCGTGCCTGAAACTGGCCAGGGACTGCTGCCCAGCCCCAACAGAAAGACCACCTAAACTCCTCCCGCAGACAGGAGAGGGGTGTAAGGGGCCTCTGTCCCTCCTAAGCAGCTGAGAGCCGCGGGTCCACTAGTTCCGCTCTCCTCCCCCGGGGGTCAAGGCTCCGTCACGCGAGTTTGAGCACTGAGCCTGAAACACACAAGAAGACTGGCTCTTGGGGTGAGGGTTCAAGAAGACCGAGGAAACCCGGAAACCCTGTACAGACCCTACCCCTCCCTATTAAGGCACCAGGCCCTAATAGAAAGCTCGGTCTCTCACCCGATTCTCCGTTGCTTGCCCGCAAGGGGCATGGGGGAGTGGGCAGGGTTCATTGTTCGTGCTGAAATCCATAATGACCACCTGAAATCGCCATGCCCCAATGTTTGCATCAAATGCTTATATGTTTCCGGTTAGGCTGTTGGGAGTTAGAGATTAACCAACCTAACGGCCATGAGTGCACAGCATGCACCTGCAGGCTTTGTGACTGCGGGGCGGTTGAAGACGAAATGCATGTCTTTGTGGAATGCCTGGCGTACATTAGTACACGGGCGAACGTGACCTCATGTTTCAAGGGTGCAACATGCGCACGATTATGACCGAGGCCCCACCCCTGGCACTAGCCAGGTTCCTCTGGGAAGTCTGGGAGACCCGGCGTGTTGCTCTAAGGCGCTCCGTGCTCAAGCGGACGAGGGTGGATGATGATGGTCCACCATGCAACCGCCCTAAAAACAATTTACCGCCCATGGGCCCCCCAGCTCTTACGGACACCCCCACACTTGTGTGGAACTTGTGCGGACTAGGCTAGTTCCTATCAGTCCACCGCCGGGGCTAGGGATGCCTCGAGGCAGTGTGGTTGTTACAGTGGGCTCCAGACTCACAAAGAGTACAGCCAGCGGGCCAGCAGGCCGTGCACTGCACCTGATACGATTAGGGCAAACAAGACTCCAACCCAGACCAGACAACGCAAGTCACCTAAATAATCCAAAACCAAATCCAAGGGCAGGCTCAGAACCCGCAACCACAGCAATTAGACTCCCCAATTGGCGAAAGTCCTCGGAACCCCACCAGAAGGCCCATAAGCAAATACTGTTAAGAACTTGATGAGATACAATAAGCAAATACTGATAAGAACTAGATGAGGCCTGAGTGAGCTTGTGCGTATGAACAGCTACATTGCATTGCTCAGACAGCTACATTGCGTTGCTCAGACAGCTACATTGCACTGCTCAGACAGACCGAAGCCACATAGGCCGCAAG